GAGTACTAAATGTAGATGAAAAAAAAAACAAATTGCATAGTTCTCAGCAAAATCACGAGATGAATCTTTTAAGCTTAATTAGTCCATAAAAAGACTAAAGTGCTACAGTAACCCACATATGCTAATGACCGATTAATTAGTATCATTAGATTCGTCTCGCTGTTTTCTAATAGGTTCTGTAATTTATTTTTTTATTAGTATCAAAAACCCCTTTCGACACATTCAATATGACACCCAAAAATTTTCTAACTCTCCGACTAAACACACCCTAGAGTTGCAAAGTTTGAACGGGTCCTGTGGTTGGTGCATCCTGGTTCAATGCAGCGCAGTGCAATGCAATGCAATTTCTCTGTAGATAGATGGTCCAAGCATCCACAGTACAGACACGGACAGTGGGTAGGCTGCACAGCACAGGCCAGCCAAGCTAGTACTCCACTCGAGTGTGCACGGCTGTGTACAAGTATGCCGCTGCGAAACCCCCTTTTGGCCTGCCTTTATTTGTGTCAAGCTAGCTTCTTCTTCTCCCTCTAGTCCACTCCTCTGTTACCATCCTCCACCACAGAAAAGCTAATGTAAGTCATGCATGTTCTTGCAGAGTACTCGCCTATTAATGCTAGGCTTCTGCTCGCTGAAACCTGACCCGAAGCGGTTGAAAAACATTGTTCTATCTAAAACGTTGTGAGAGAAAAATACTGTTTCAACTAAAAAAAATTCGAATAAATCGAATATGAGGTAAGCCGTTAAATCGCCAACACGACAATACTGCTTCAAATTACAGTCAGAGCACACGGAGATGTTTAAATCTAGGAGCTAAAGTTTAAGAATATCATATACAGTGTCATATAGAGTGTTTGGATAATAATAATAAAATAAATTATAGAAGCCATCAGTAATCCGCGAGATGAATTTATTAAACTTAATTAATCTGTCATTAGCACATATATTACTGTAGCACCACCTTATAAAATCATAGACTAATTAGACTTAAAAAAATTCATTTCATAAATTAGTTTTAATTAATTAGTCTATATTTAATAGGTCGTGGGTAACGTTGTAGGTATAGTTTTCCAAACGGGCCGCATGAAGACAACATTGAGACGCATGGCATGGCAGCACGCAACATGCGAGAGGCACGGCACTACATGCATACGGTGGCTAACCGCCGTCTGCGTGCTCGATAGTGCCACCGCGTCGAAGTGGCGACCTGCACGCGCACTATCAAGTTGTGCGTCATCGTCTTGGTGCAAGCACGGCACGCGCCGTTCGTCATGGAATCCGAGCACTAAACACATTTTAACCAAAGCACAATTTGGAATCAAAATTATCGAGAAAAAGAACTGGAGAAACAAAAGCAGAGCAAACACACAAGAGTTAAGAAAATAGGAATATGGGAGCATGTGCAATGGTGCTTCACTAAAAAAAACTAGGTAAAACTCACCCTTGTGAGAAACCCTAGTCGGAGAAAAAGTCATACAACCTAGCTCCATTAAAGTTTAATGTTCTTACATCATTGTCCAAGTCCAAGTTCTCATATTACAGAGCCAAGTTCAAGCTAAATGTAAAGACTAAACTAATAAAGATATGCTTCAAGCTTCAAGTTCAAGCTCCCACCGCCAAGGTGCAAAAGAAGAATAGAGTTAGCATTAGGAGCACCGGTAGCATTAGCAAAAGAAGAAGAAGAAGAGGAAGGGTTGTAATTAACCTTGGCGGTCGGGGGCACTAATCAAGATAAAGCTCTTCAAATGTTTCCTCCTCCACTCCCGGGTCCTCCACATTGTGTTGCTTGACCTTGCCTCCGCCAACTCCCAGTCCTTGGCCAGGTGAGCCACTCCACCGTCTCCGGCTTGACCTCCTCCTCCGCTCCTCGATAATCCTACCACCATACTAAACGTAGATTCGAAGATATGGTAGACACAGGAGCAGTTAAAACATCTTTAGCCATGATGGACAACACTTTGGATATGTCGGTTTGTGCTCATGCCACCATTTCAAGATGTCAAATGAATCATCCAAGCGGCTAACAGATGTCACAATCCAAGTATGAGACAAGTTAAGAAGCATTAGAAGTCTAGAAGTAGCAAGCATGCATGCAAAAGCGAAGAGAGATGTATCTCTAGAGGCAGATTAAGAGAGGAATGCAAAGAATGAAGTACCCCACCGGAAGGACTAGGTGTATCATCATCATAAATTTCATCCCAAGCAGACCTTTTCTTACCGGATAGGTTTTGAGGGACAGTCCTCCTCAACCTAACAAACTCCATATTTCTCCTCATACTTATTGAAAACATCAAGAAGCCTAGCTCTAGTGCCAACTTTGGTAAGCACTATAATCTGTACTAGTAAGGTTCATCAACTTCCTCAAAGCACTTTTGCAAAACCCTTCATTTTAGCTCTAGGGTCCAAGATGAATGCAAAAGAATAGAGCAAAGGTATGTCCCTCCAATATTTATTATATTTGTCTATCATAGGTTGAATCACATTTCTCGTGTGAATGTCATTACTATAATTGTTCGGGTGTATAGCAATCTTAACCAGATAATGAAGCATAAGTGGAGATGTAGGATAGTAAACACCGAGACAATGCAACAAGTAGCATCATAGAACAGTTCAAGAAACACAAATACTTTTTTTCAAAGAATGGTCCAATGTTCTTGAGCTTAGAAGCAACTCACTATTCTCACCTCTAGGATAATTGGCATGTGAATGAAAGTAGTGAAAGGATCTTTGTGAGGAAGCAAAGTCTTAAGCATTAGATATGTAGAGTTCCACCTTACATCCATATCTAATTGAAACTTTCTAGGCCTAACACACATTTGCAATGCAAAGTCTTTTGTATCTGCAATCCTCTGATTAGATGAGTTTAAAAATGATATTGCAGTTCTAAAAATTTCAATCAAAGGTTTAAGATAATTAAGTGCCTCCTTGACAATCAGGTTGATTATATGGCATGCACAACGGCGTGATGCAAGAACATAGTACTAACAAAGCAGATTCGTTGAGTTCGGGATGTCTTGGATCCTCTCATGGTACCTCAAGACCAAGATATTTAGACAAAAGCAGATCTAAGTTTTTGCATGGCGAAACATTAGATGAAGCATTGTCCAAAGTAACGACAAACACTTTTTTTCACAACACCATAATCACCAAGAACAGATGCAACTCTATCAGCAATGTTACATCCATTATGAGAACAATCAATAAGCACAAGACCAAGCACCCTCTTCTCTAGTTGCCAATCGGGGTTTATGTAATGAGCAACAACACTAAGGTAGTCCTCTTTGGCTTTGCTGCACCATATATCGAGGTTAGGCACACACAATTAACAGTAATCGAAGCAAGTAGCTCAACAAGCTTAGCCTTTCTATCGAGAAAACATTTTGGCTAAGTCTCTAGTGGTGGTTTGTGTAGAGACTGACTGAAACTTAGGATTATGAGCATTACAGATGTATTCCTCAAATGCAAAGCAGATTCACCAAAGCTTATAGGAACATCTACCCTAGCAAGCAATCGACAAAGTTCAAGACGAAGCACGCATAGGACGGTAATCCCAATTACGCATAGAACCATCAGGATTAAAAAGAGATCCGAGACTGACTAAAGCTCCTAGTTTTCTCTCGCCTAATAAAACACATTTATCCTGTGATTTACATTGAGGTGGCGGTGCCAATTGCAGATCTACGAGAATCACGCTTTTTGCAATGGATGCATGAGGCAGAAGCCATACGACCTTCTTACCTTTGGGACCCATCTTGAATAGCTTCTTGAAGTCAAGCCACACATCGAGGAGTGTGCAGGGACGTGATACACGGTCGTCGGCGTTCTCATCTTGTTCGCCGCCTTCGTCCTCTGCTCCATCACCACCTTCAACGTTGATCGGATCACCGGCTCCACCTCCAGATCCACGCCTGAAGAGCTCTTTCTACCTCCTCGTCGCGCCCATATGTCGTCGTCTTCGTCTTCTCCAGGGAGCTCGCGCAACCTCTCGGACTCCTCATGGTACGCATGAGACAAGGCAGCCTATTTGTCTCTTGAGGGGGGGGGGGAGGCATAGCCACCGGCCTCAAAACGGCCGCACAAGTGTGTAGAAGAAGAAGAAGATGGTCAAGATCAAGAACTAAAGAAAGAACAAGAACGGTTAGGGTTAGGGTTAGGGTTAGGGGTTTACTATGGATTCTTACCTCAACGCCCGCATGACGTGAAGGCTAGAGACTCTTCTGAGCATTTGTGAATCCACCGGATCTAAAGAAAGAAGAAGAAAAAATCGGAAAGAAAGCATCTTCCGTCTTTGAGATTTTCAGGAGGCGAGAAGAAGAAGATGAGTGCTCTTACACTGCATCTTGAGCCCCGAGAGCTGCCGTAGAGGCGAGAAGAAGAGGTGGGGACGGCGGCGGGTCGCCGTCGCCCGTCTTAAATTCCGCCCCGCGCCGTCGGAATCGGAGGAGAGCGAGAGAGAGAGAGCGAGAGGAGAGCCTTGACGGGAAAGGCGAAAATGATTTAGGGTTTAGGGTGCGAGGGGGAGCAATGACGAGCTTCAAATATACACCCCCACCCCAACGATCGAATCCAACGGCTAGAATCAAGAGGGTCGGGGATCCAACGGCCATGATGGCTCGATAGCCGCCGCCGAATCCGGCCAGCCTTTTTCCGTCTTGCGTGCCTCGTCTTTGGCCCATGGGCGAATGTGCGGCCCAGCACGGCGCACTGCTGGCCGTTAAGCTGCGGCACGCTACGCACGCTGCCTAGCGGGCCGGGCCGGGCTAGTGCCGTGTTTTTTAGGGCCGTGCCCGTGTCGGCCCATCGGGCCTGGCCCATTTGAAAAACTATAGTTGTAGGGCTAAACTTTTGCCGCACAGCCCGTCTTGTTTGCTTTCTCACCATTTGCTAGTACTCTGCCACTGTTTCTGATAACTTTCTGCCGTTTGGGATGTCTGCGGAATTAATGTCTCAGGGTACCGGTTCATAAATAACCGTCCGTGCCGTGGTGTGCCCCGTAGCTACCAATGGTCATGGCGAAGCAGCAGCAGCATGACAAGGGATCGCCAAAGCAAGCTCGCAACGAGCCGGCGCCGTTCCGGTTGGAGCACTGTTGCGACTGCGACGATGCCCGCCGTCTGGCCGACGATGGGTCGAAGGGTGCGGGGCCTGCTGGCCCGCTCCACCTGACTCTCGGCCCACTCGGCTCGGCCGCCGACCGCCGCCGCTGCTCGTGCGGTGTCGCGCCAGCGCCGGCGGCGCCCGTGACGGTGGCCGTCCTCCGCGGGTCCCGGTACCTGAGGCCGGCGCAGGAGCTGCTGTGCGAGGTCGTGCGCGTGGCCGACCTGGCGGCTGGCGAGGACGAAGACGAGGATCAGGTGACGGAGCGGCTCGAGGGCGGCGGTTCTCACCGGTCGGTGCGTCGGGTGGCCGGGAACGACGGCGACGGCGACGGCGACGGCGTCCAGGCCAAGCTCCTCGGCCTGCTCAGCGAGGTCCGTGCGGTTGTTGCCTTGCATCGGATATGTAGATGTAGCGGCGTCGCGATGTTTGTGTTTGCTGAATGCTGATTGGTCTTCTCGCTTGCGTCGCAGCTGGAGAGCCGGCGGGAGCGCTACTTCGGCGAGCTGGGGCGCGTGGTGTCGTCGTTCGAGCCGGCGCTGGGAGACGGCGCGGCGGCGGCGTACACGTCCCTGATGGCGCGGGCCATGGCGCGCCACTTCGGCAACCTGCGCCGCGTCATACTGCGCAGGCTCAGGCTCCACGCCGTCGCCGCGGCGAGGAGGTCTCTGCGGCGCGGCGGCGAGGAACACCACGACGATGACGACGACGAGGTGACTGAGGAGCTGGTGGAGAGGGTGGCCCGGCGGACGAAGCTAGCCGCGGCGGCGCGGGCGGAGCAGGCATCGTGGCGGCCGCTCCGCGGCCTGCCGGATGGCTCCGTGGCCGTGCTCCGGGCGTGGCTCTTCGACCATTTCCTCCACCCGTAAGTGCACGAAACGAAACCCCGTCATGATACGACACCACCTGTGCTTGCATTGCATCGCAGTATAATAATCCAGTCCATGGTGCATCGTCCTGCGATGCAACAGGTACCCCGACGACGGCGAGAAGCTGAGGCTGGCAGTGACCACCGGCTTAAGCAGGCGCCAGGTCCGTAGTTCCGCACGACACTCCACAGATGAGTTGATCTGCATTTGACATCGGATTAACTGCGCAGTGTAACTAACCGGCTGCACACTTGGTGATGATGATTGATGAGCAGATATCCAACTGGTTCATCAACGCGCGCGTGCGGCTGTGGAAGCCCATGATCGAGGAGATGTACAAGGACGAGTTCTCCGAGGGTTCCGCCGTCTCCAGGGACGACGACGCCAGCGCCTCCTCGTCTTCTTGATCACCTCACCCTCCAGAAAAGAGCGGCGTTTATCTAGCTAGTTCATCACTTGTTCTTTTTTTTTTGAAAATTGGTTGCGTTCCATTAAAAGATGTCAAGTTTAGCGATGTTCCATTAAAGGATCACTTCTTTGCTTTATTATGGCACGGAAAGGTCATGACGTTATTGGTTTAGGCTGTTTTTATATCGCGAAATGAAAATTTTTGGACGTCATATAGGATGTTTCATGAACGTCGGAAGGGGTTTTTGATACTTATAAAAAAATAATTACATAGCTCGTTTGAAAACGGCGAGACGAATTTATTAAGCCTAATTAATCTATTATTAGCGCATGTTAGTTACTGTAGCATTTATGGCTAATTATGGACTAATTAGTCTTAAAACATTCGTCTCGCGATTTTCAACTAAACTGTGCAATTAATTTTTTTTCGTCTATATTTAATACTCTATGTATTTACCGTAAAATTCGATGTGATAGTTTGGGGTGAAATTTTTTGAAAACTAAACCAGGCCTTATACTACTTTCGTCAACTTATCTAACGTTCCGCCGTTGTATCTCCATTATCTAGTCATCTTTTTCAAGCCTTTTCCTTCAAAAATTGCTGGATGGAACAGGATTTCTAGCAAAAATACGCTGCACTCCCATTGCATTGCTGTAATTCTTCCCCATCTACCTCGTCCCACCACGCACGTATACCCCAGCCCTATTCGTCTCGCCCCGCCCTATGCCCACCGCTCCTTCTCCCTAACCCCTCATCTCTCTCCGCGTGGGCGAGACCCGGTCGAGGACGAGCACTCTTTGTCCGCAGGACCCCAAGCTTCGTCGGCCCTCGGCTCACCACGCCCTTCCCCTGGTGTCCAGGCCATGGCCCCATGACTCTCTGAACATACCTCTGAAACACGAAACACTTGCGACATGAAATACTTAAATACCACATACGTCTGAAGCAGATGAAATATTTAGAATATATACTTGCAACATGTGTGTGAAACATATGCAACATATCATAAAACACTTGCAACATGAAAACACTTATTACAATATAAGACTAAAAGCAGTTGAAACATTTCGAACATACTCTTGCAACATATGTGTGAAACATATGCAACATCTAAATAAGCACACTTGCAACATACGTCTGAAAAAGCAGATGAAGCATTTGGAACAGATGCTTGCAACATACGTATACAACAATTGCAACATGTGCAACATCACGATCTATTTTTGCAACATCCTTATAAAACACTTGTAACATATCTCTGAAATATTTGAAATAATTGAAACGGTTGATGCAAAAATGTGGCGATGCGCCTGACACACAGCAAGCCGGAACGATCTGAGCGAGGTCAACTCGTAGATCTTGCTTGGCTTCACAACAGGACCAATCGATCCTAAAAATCCCGAAAGACGTGCTAGTCAATTTGACCTGCAATTGACAAGGAGAGGAGTTTTATCAGTAGTTTAGGGTGGAACATGCCGATTTTGTCCAGACAGTTTCAAATGTGCTGCTTCGAGAGCAGCCAAACAGGAGAATCGACTAAATAGCCGATACGAGGAGAAATCGACTGTTAAGGACTGTGATGTTCGTGGGTCATGATTGATTTATGATAACAAGTACAATAGATATAAGTAACATCATCGACTAGATGGATATAACCAGTGTAAAGCATTGAGCCGATAAGTTTAACGAAGAAAGATATAACATGCGAATAAATCGACTGTCTTGTACAAACGCTCTGAATCTAATCTGTTACCATCAACAGTGAGGTTCGACCGGATCAATAGAGCTATGATAATAATAACAAACTAAAGCCAAAGAATCCATAAAACCATCTATATATTGACAGGTTCATGAAAAATATGCTATATGTGTGAAGGCATAGACGAATCGGGATGCATGCATAGCAAACAAATAGAGTACATATCTCGATCACGAATAAAACCATTATTCGATAATCTCTAATCTAAAGTCTTACCAGTGAGGTTCGATCGGATCGATGCAGCTATGATTGTGTCATTAGATTAGATCTCATTAACTAGTGAGTTCATCCAAGATCGAAAATGTGTTTTTGAATGCATACTATGCTTGATTGGAATAGATATAAAACAGCTGATCTAGCAGAATTAAGCCATCAATTATGAGATTCAAATTGTGACTAGACTAGAAGACGACCAATTATGATGATATGATGCCAATCCATCTCTATCTCAATCAGATGATTTGTTAACAAGATCGATAACTGGTGAATCAACCAAGAACAGACAGGAAAATCTTACTAATCTTAGAAGATTCGATAACTGGTGATATTGTATTAAACAACAAGTTATTTCACACAAGATCGATAACTTTGATCTATATTATGATCCGTAAGAAATCAATCAGCTGATGCAGCCTTACGAATAATGATACAGATCAATAACTAACTTATACTATACTCGTAAAAGATCAATCGGCTGAGTGCGGCTTTACAAGCATAATATAAATCGTGACGGTACTCACAGACAAGCCGGAGGTTGATCAGTCGATGCAGCCCTGCTTGTTGAAGAACTCATCGAGATCTACAGTACTCCTACTCCTAAGGGTTGGCGTGAAGCCGAAAAAGGTAATTGTATTGGTTGGTTGTTCGTCTCTTTACAATAACCGGGGTCCAATATTTATACCCAGAACCTAAACATGAATCCTACTCAAATACAACTCATTACAATTCTTAGAACAAAAGAAAACATTCCTAACTTAAAAATAACTTGGACTCCAATCTTTTCCTTTTTGTAGAGTTTGACATATTTTTCCTCGACGCCATCCGTACGTAGTCCATTGACGTCGTCTACTGGCGTCATCTATAAAATAGCCGATTCTGAAACTACATCAAAACCAGCCGATATTGATTCACATCTGATCGATTCCTTAATGATACAGTCTTAGAAGCTTTGAGTTCCCGCTTTCTTCTTTTTAGATTTTGGTGTAAACACGGCCCCCCAATTTTGAGATAAAAATGGATTTATTCTAAAATTTCTATTTACCTACTCACCGTGTCGCAACCGTTTATTCCAAAATATACGCGCAACTCCTGATTTCTCGGTCCGAATTTTATGTAATACCCCAACAGTATCATTTTTAACTCATTCGGCCTATTCGTTTTTCCCTTCTTTCTCGAGCAAGCCTCAACAGCCAATGCCGCTATTGCCAAGGCCTTAACCCTAGCAAATCCTTTGCTCTATCAAGTTGTTATTCAAGTAATCTTACTCTGATTCAGATCCATCTTGGCTGCAATGGCGACCAGCGACCACGTCCCTGAGGTATGTTTTCCAGTTCCTGTCTACCAAATATTAGCCATTACCCTGTATTTCTTTTCTTCTCAAATTTATTCTATCTAGTTTCTAGGAAATAAGGAACGAAATTTTAATTCCATCGGCTATTGTTCCCAATGTCTATTATCTTGGGCCTATGGGCCACCCTGATCCATCTAACTTTATCAGACAAGAAACCAATCGAATCCCCTTCAAACAATCTGTAGTAGATTTGTCCTCCTGAAACACCAAAACTCCCTTTAGAAACTGACCCAAAATGTCTAAGGGATAGAGAGATTGGTTTCGTAGAGTATCAGAGGAAAAAGCTGGAGATTGTGAGATTTATGACTTGAATCAATGCTTGACACTCTCACTATCTGAAATGGAGAGGAATGATTCACTTCTGATTTTTGCATCTTACTTCTTGTCCAACACCTTAAATGCTTTCATTTTTTGTCACGGCTCAATGACCATCACTTTGACCGATGTTCATATGTTGACCGACCTTATAATAATAGGATCAATGCAACCTTATGACTTCTTAAGTGCTGGATCCAAGAAATTAGCCAAAATAATAGACTGCACAGGATGGACAAGCTACATTCTGAACCATATTGGAGATGGATCAACCATAGCTGAAATGGAACATGTAGCTTTCTTGAACATGTGGCTGAAAAGATTCACCTTTTGTGGATCATCTTGTGGTCTAACTTTCAATCATAAATACCTGGCAGAGCGTCTAGCAGCTGACAATGAAATCCCTCTTGAAAAATACCTGCTAGGATCTGCTTATCATCTAATGCACCAGGTAACTGTCTAATTGCTAAAGAATAAAACAGGGCATACCATTAGTGGCCCTTGGTGGTTGATACAGCTATGGCTGAACCTATATATGTACAACATTGTAAGACCCGATCTCAGAAAATTAGGCTTTTCTTCTTACAACTTTACTAAAGATTACAAAGGAAAAGAAAGAAGAACTCGACAGTGCATGAATTATGGTGAGGCTGCATCAGCCATAACAATTGATGTAGATGTAGGCCATCTCTTTAAGAAATTCTACATAGGATTTGATGCAAATATCTTGACTTGATTGCCTTAGAATGAAGATGAAGACAATGAATTAGTTCTGCCTTCTTCATGAACTCGTCTTTGAGACTGCCATAATGTTATGAGGACTATCTTTGTGCTTATTTTTTGATCTATAGGCCATACATATTATATTGGTTTTCACCCCTTAGGGTTAGTTTTTGAACTAAAGGCGATAACCTTCTGGTACCGTCTATTAGAGCCGATGACTGAAAAATAGGCTGTCAAGTATTAATCCAAACATTAGGATAATATTTCTTTAGATACTTTCCATTGATCGCTCTATCAAACTCCTCTTCTCCTTCTAGCATTTCCAAAATATAAGCATTATCAGGCGCACAACGTTTAATCCGATAAGGACCTTCCCAATCAGGTGACCATTTACCAAACTTGTTGTCTTTAAATCCAATCGGTAATTTCACCTTCTAGACCAAGTCTTTTTCAGAAAATTATTTGCTCTTGACCTTCTTATTGTAATACTTTGCAATCCTTAGCTTATTGACTTTGATATTCTCAAGAGCACGCAGTCGATGACAACTTAAGTCTTCTAAGTCATCTATCATAAGATTCTTGTAAACTTTGACTGATAAATTATTTTGCAACGTAACATGTCTCGATCCAG